TCTTTTCAGGTCATTAAAGGATTCTTGGAAAATCCAAAATTCAAAGGACTTTTTAAATTTCCTTCCCATACGCTTTAAATTAGCCCTCTTTTGTTCTACTCTATCATAATTTTTGCTCAACTCAAAGATATCATTAAGTTGACTCAGAGACTCCCCGTTCAAGGGGTTTCTAAAATTTATTTCCAGTTGATGAATATAAACTTAATATAAAACAAGTTGAAAAGTCACGTTCTTCTGGACTTTGCGTACATCTGCCTTAACTCAAAATGCCATTAGCATAAGTAAAATCAGGTAATATGGTAATGTAAGTTATAATTAATTAATTCTTTACTGATAAGCATAAGTGTACCGTATTTTCCAACAAAATCCAAACAAATTATTTTAAAAGTAATGCTCAGGAAAGTTTTAGCTTATTTTCCAAATAAGAAGAATATCATGTGTGCAACAAAATTTTCGGTAACAATCAGTTGTAAACTCAGTTACGTAACTAACACCTGTGCCTGCTTCACTCTATGAAATTAAGAAGAGAAGAGCAAGAGCAACAAAAACCTATTAATCATTCTCTGGTTCTTCTGGTAATTAGTATAGAAATTTCTTTTTAAATACATTTTGCTTTAATGCTTAAACTCTTTGATTATTAACGAAAAATAGTTGAAATCTATTTTTTTTTAATGACATTTAAAACTTTTCGTTATGTGGAAATTTTTATACATGATGATGAGTCAGCTATTTTCACCAGTGATATGGCATGAAAAGAAAAGACTACAAATATACTGCTTAGTCACCTAATGTCGAATTATTTTATATATAAAATATAACAAGAGTATTAACTAACATTCAGTTTCTGTTCAAAGGAATTTTTATCATTAAACCTTTCATTACACGTACGTAACTATATGTAAATGTTATGAAAAAGAAAATTCTTAATAACAGACACTGTTCTGGTGTTCATCTCTTTAAAATAATTTTGTTTTTTTTTTTTTTTTACTTTTTACTATACTCTTACTGTTCTGTTTGCCGTTTCTCCCAAGTGTTTGTGTATGTCATTCACTTGTACTTATACTTGAACGCATGCGGATGGATATATGAATATTTAAATCGTTAGATACCATAGTAATATGTAGTATTGTGTATAGTGTTGCATAACATATAACGTATCATCATCATCAAGTCTAGACGATATTGTTTTCTTTACGATAAACAACAGATTGATTTTGCTCTCAAGTTCATTTCACTTCCATTCGGAATGCATTGAAAATTGCAAAACAATTTATTTTTCTTTTCATTTTAAATTGCTTTGATTGTCTGATTACAAATACTATGGTTTTCGCAGTATACTGTGGAGCCTCCACCTTTAAATCTCCACACAGAGTCGAGTACCATATGTGGCTAAAAAAAAAAAAAAAAAAAAAAATTTAAAAACCATAAATGTGAATGCGTTCGTATCGTAATCTAAAGAAAATGATTTTTAATCAATTTTAAATGTTTTACAAAAACGAAAAAAGAAGAAGAAGAACAAGAAGAAGAAAAAAAAAGACTAAAAACATCAGTAAGCGAAGAAATGAAATCTATCAGAATTTCTTGATATATTTAATAGTCGTTGGGTTTCAGTAATCAAAATTGTTCATCTAAACGATCGATGGTATGATGTCGGAGTCTTGCGAATGTAATGTTAGCGCTATTCCTTTATAAACTGAAATCATTGAACAGTGTTGGCTGAATGCTTTATTTTATAATTTATTCTTTAATGTATTATTGGGCATAATGAAAAGTCTTTTCGGTTACTTCTTTTAATGAAATAAATTCCAAAAACATAGAATATCATTCTCTTCTTCGAAAATTCAGGAAATCAACAACAGATGGTTCACTGTGCTGTGCAAGAAAGCTTGAATGAGAACAGGAAACCCTTCCTCAGAATCTTAATAAAGTTAGTGTTCAATTATATATGTGTGTAATGGCGATCGTGGCTTCATCTGTTAACTATGACCACTTTTACGAGCGATATTTTTTTCAGAATACATAGAATTTTTTTCGAATTTGTCCACTAATGAGTTATTATCTTTCAAAAAAAAGGAGTGATACTGGTATAAGATTTCGCAATTAATGCACCCTAGCATAACAAAAAAATTAATATAAAAATACCTAATTCGGGAATTTTGTACAAAGTAAAAGATTTACGGATTACCTCTATAGGTTAAAGAATTTTGTGGATTATAACTTTTGCTCTTTTTACTCAGCATTATTTAGTATAAAATACCGCGTATTATGCGTTACTGTTACGCAACAGTCAGTTCTACTCTGCTGTATCACGTATAGTGCGATATACTGCCCGTCAATGAATTAGTATTTCATTGCAATCTATATATTACTGATATAAAACCGCACTTTACGAAAGATAACTGTAAGCGATTTGATTGTAGACAATGTTACTCCGTTATAGTATAAATTAGTGCAGCGTAGGTTACACATTAGTGCTATTTTCTTTTTTACGCAGTATGGCAGCTATTATTTTTTCAGGACCCTGCCCGTCTTCAGCGAAAGGTCTTTCCAGTGGTTTTTGTTTATTTACTAAACTCAGTAAATCGTCTCTTGTTGATTTGTTGACCAGCGGAAGAAGGAGAAGAATAAGTTGTGTTTTCATAATGCCAGCAGAGATAAGGTCGGGAACAGTACAAAGAACAGAAGACGAAACGTTGCAATGTTATATCAATTTAGAACATATGGCTTAGTTAATAAACCTCAGTTAAAACTCAATAAACTCCGTGCTGGTTAATGCTGGCGGTTCTGCAACGAAGTTGACAAAATTTGTAACTATACTATATCAATCAGATCATTTCTGCGAGGTAGAACGGAACAAAAGAGCAGCATTCCATTTATATATAGAATTTCCAGTTTTTTTTACACTAACATCTGACTCGGGGATTTAGATAATAGGAGAAAATCGTAAAAATGCCTTATCAAGACTGTAAATTGGTTGTGGTAATGCATTTGAACTAAGATCTAGTATTCACTTTCTAATCTAGGAAAATGGAAGCACGTTAGTGTTACATTTGTACCATCCCATCGTTCTTACGTAATTTAAGAAGAATAATTGATGTTAGCAAAAAATTTTTATATGCAACACTTCGTTTCCAATTATTTTAACGGTGCAGCCCGAGTCAAAGAGATTTGTGGTTATAGTTAGTAAAATACGGAAGAGAAGAAGGAGAAGAGAAATTAAAGTAGTTTCTATTAAATGATTAAGCAAAGGATGTGTGAGTAGGACCTTGCCTTGTGGCTTATGAGACGTAATACGTCTGAAATTCTGCGGTCCGGCGAGAGATACGAGACTATTTAATATTGAAAACTCAACATCACATATTCCAAAAAAAACATTTTTTCAAACGTCCTTTTAATGATAACCAAGCATACTGACCGCGGGCTATTTATCTTTTGATCTGTGTTAAGGCACTTCTTTCTAATTACAGTAGAAGGAAAATATAAAATTCTTGTCGATGGATATCTATCTTCGCCTTGCCAAATTTTTTTGTCACACTGCCGAGGGCTTCAGTGTGCTTTGTCTTAAAACACTAGAGCCTTTTACAAGAAAACAAAGAACTTAAGTTTTCATTGAATCTTATTGCGTATTTTAAAGCCTACCCGCCTGAGAGGTCGGATAGGCAGAGAATATTGCCAATGGTCGTGGATTCAAATCCCAAGTGCGGTAGCACTTTAAGATTTTAGTCTTTGAGTTTGTTTCTCCCGCTAAGTTAATTATAATTATAATAGTATAACAATACCTTAATGCTAGCAACAGCAAGCACAGCGCAAGGCCTTTCCCCACTACCTAATACATTACGTGTAATGGCTTGTGCACCGGAGCTGCTCTCACGGCTTACAACTGCTGTCATCCTTATGCTTATGCCATTATAATGCTGTTACTATTCGCTATGTTATTGTTGTTGTCTAACTGTCTTCTCTAACCGTTTTCCGTATGTCTGCCTGCTTTCCTGCCCCATTACACTGTATTTTGTAACATATGCAATTTGCTTAAGAAAAAGAAAAGTAAGAAACGAATGCTCTCTGCATATATGTTATTTATGAATTTTTCATGCAAATTAACATCACAAATCTTTTTTTTTGTTTTGTTTTCGTTTCTGGTTTGGTGCTTCAAGACAGCATAAAACGCAACAACCCAAACATAAAGAAAGGAAAAAAAGGAAAACTTCAAATAAAAACCAAAGTTATTGGCAACGCTTCCCTTAACCTTATGGGTATGGGTTCTCGGAACTTTTGCTTCGGTTTGGATTTTCATTATGATTCGAGATTACTTATACGTACTTATATATTAAGCGCATGTGATGTTATCCACATGTCTAAGCGTTATTGTGTGACTTTAAAAGATAAATGTTTAAAAAAGCAACAAAAAAAATCAAATTATTTTTTGAAATTGATAGAAAAGAAAACATGGTGGACGTAAGAACATCGCCGAAAATAACAAAAACAACTAAAATCAATAAGTAAATAAAATAATAAAACACAAACGCACAATTTAAACTACCTGCGGTCGTTCTTAACACTGCTCGGACCACGACCAACCTTTGAGGCTCCCTTGAACTTTGATTATTTCACATTGAATTTCTAAACATTTTTATTTTTTTTCTCACTTTATTATTATTATTATTATTATTAATCTTATAATTTTGTAGACTAACGAAATAAGTTCTTAGAGTAAAAGAAAACAAAAAAAAATTCGAAAGCATAAGTTAACGGCCCTCTAAAATTAATTCATCCTTTAAATTTCTTTTCATCTAATCTATTTTCTAATCTTACCAAGAAGGAAAGATTAGAGCTAATGTTCACACAAAGTAATTCGTCCTCCTACTTAACCCTTCCTATTACAACGCAGTGGGCCACATGTACCTTGGAAGAAGAATAAGAAATAGGCAAGTGTTCAATTTCCGATTGAAAGTTTTTTTGTGATTTTTTTTGTGTGAAAATTTTAAATATATAAAAGAAACATGAACAGGCAATTCCATGTACCGTCGCTTGATGATGAAATTTTCGATATGACTGATGTTGGCTCTAACTCCAATTCTGCTACCAATGCAGAGAGAATATTACCGGCTAGCAAGAACATACAACAAACTGAGCAACTACAGAATAGAAAAATGGGAGAAGTCAGTAATACATCGGAGGAAATTTATACTTCAAACGTTCCGTGTTCCGCAGTGACTAATCACAACATTTGCGATTCGCAAAATCAAAGCACACCTAAGTACGTTATAATTTCAACGCCAACCAACAGCACAATAGCGTCGCGAAAACAAGCAAAAGTTACTACAAAAGTCAACAATGGCAATCCCTGCGATCCTAATGAACCGACTAAACCTGTATCTGCGTATTCCATGTTCTTTCGAGATACGGTCAACGCTATAAAACATGAGAATCCGGGGTGTACCTTTGGTGAGCTATCCCGTATTGTGGCATCAATGTGGGACGTTTTAGATCCGATTCATAAGAATGCCTATAATAAACGTAATGAAATGGCTCGTCATGGCTATGTAAAACAAATGGCAATTTATAGACGGCAAATATTAGAGCAGCAAGAGGCAAAGAAAGCCCAGCAACGAGAGCAAAAACAGACACAGCAAATTTCAGGTACTTCAACATCGAATCCAATTAATATGAATGCGCGTGAAACATATGTAAATTTAAATGTTAAAGGAGAAAAGTACCAGCAGCATCATTCACCTACCCAAAACCAACAACAACTGACCCAAGGTCGTAACACTTTAACAGCTGCAAAGGAGGAGTCATCCGTTATAATGTCTAAGCCTGTAGGCGTTGCATCCACGACATCGACAATTACTTCTGTAACTCCTAGTTCCTCGGATAAGCACACACTTCACAAGGCCAAGCCAATTCAAATGTGCATTCGCGAAAATTGCAACAAACGCGCCATCATTAATCCTGATTGGGAAGATGAGTATTGCAGCAATGAATGCGTCGTGATACATTGTCGCAATGTATTCAACTCTTGGGTGCAAATGGAAAACAAACGAGAACCGTAGGAAAAACGAAGATTGCTTTACAATTATGTATTTGTTCGTTATATGCAATGAATTTGTCAGTTGCCTTTTTTGTTTGTCTGTCATAAATAAAGCATACGTATGTTCTACTTAAAAACAAAAGCTACCAAAGATTACACGGCTTTAACAAGCCACTTACGGGTCCATATAAATGTTTTGAAAAAAATTGAATCCAAATTTTTCTCACAATAGGAGTAAAGCGTGGCATGGAAGCACATTACATTATCGTACTCCATAACAGACACATTTGAATATTTGGAGTTTTGCATTCACCAGGCAAAGAAATTTTGTCGTTTCAAAAGTGCTTATGCAGGGAGAGACTTTACGCATTTGTAATTATCGAAGCATGGAGAATAGGTAGTAAGTTGAACCTTCATGTGAGGTCTCTGATGATTTATTGCAGTCTAGGACCTGCAAAGCATTATCTAATAATATCTGCGTGACCTTTTGGGCATAGATTATTTTCGTGATTTCGTTTTCAATTTAGTCGCTTTATTTATTGCCTCTTAACTATTATCCCTTGTCTTCTAGTTATATTATTATTTCCTATACCATTTGTGGTATGAGAGTTCATGTGGGCGGATGGTGCAACGTCCAAATATAGAGCTACCTTTCGTTACACCGAAAAAATGATTCGGAATTGATGTAAGCTTGTGTGTCCGTCTGCCCATTGTCTGCCTTGTTTTCTTGTGCTCAATCCACATGTCGCAATTTTTAAGACATTTTGATAAACTTTATATACTGACGTGTTTTGGACCAAGGACGAATGTTATAGAAAAGGGTTCGGATCGGGCTACTTTTTCGACCACTTTTCATATAACGTGATCGACGTATGGACAACTGTAGAAGGTGTGGGGTATTTAATGATGCGCGGTGCTCCAATCATTTCTTACAAAACGAGCTTCGAGTTGATGCAATGGGATGGGATGCGTCATAAGAGGCAACGCTATAACTTCGAATTTTCCTAAAAACAGATGAACATGTTCACGTAAAACTGTTTTCAAATTTACTTGTAGGAATATAACAAACATCGTCTTTGTATATATGCAAAGTTTAAATATTGGCACTTTGTAATAACTTACTTTTAAATAAAGTTTCAATTTTTTTTTTTTTTTTTTTTTGCTACATACATGAATTTTCATGTTCAAGTGCATATAAATATTTAAAGCATGCTCTGAAGCTTGATGGAATACTTATTAATAAGAAGTCATTTATAACGTTCTTTAAAAAAAAAATTACTATTACGTGCCACAAAAATATTTTTTAAACCGGATAAAACTCTTCTCCTGTTCATAGTTAAAGCGGAAAACTGTTGAAACCAATAAAGCATTCATGCATATGTAGTAAATATGTAAGTCGCTCCAATCGATACTCTATTTATAAAAGGAATCCTTCCATGTGCAAGCTTCCATCCTAACCGCATATTAATCTACGGTATTACATACTACTTTCAACTATTATGTATTCAAATTGTATGTGTATCTACATCTTCTGATAACCTCGATGAAAGCACTTTACTTCTACACACATGTTACGTTCAAATGGTCGTTTGTGCGGAAATATGCACATGAAGAATGAGTGAGTTGGCGTTATTAAATAATGCGAACATTTTTTATGCATGAAATGAAAATTTTGTAAGAAGATGTATATATAAATTAAAAGCTTGGTGGTATAGGTCATCAAACGCTTATTGCGTTCGCATTCAATTTTTGGGGATAGGCAATGAATTTTTAATAACTTATGCTTGCAAGTAGGCAACAAAATAATTGCAATTCTAATCTAAGAAACTAATCACTTAACAAAATTATGTAACGCTGCAATTATAGTCAAATGAGTTCTTCTGACTTCTAAAGAACTTTAAACATCTATACTTTTAAGATACCGGGGCTTTTACCAAAATGAGTCAATTTGACTAATTTGTCTTTTTTATGGAAACGTCGGAGTTGCAAACGGACTTAAGAAACGAAGTTCAAATTGTCGACGTGCCAGTTAGCGGATAAGAACTATTTGTCCTTATGGTTTTAAAGAATATCTGGGTCACAAATTACCAGAAATATCATCAACGAAATCTTGAACCTATCAATGAAATTGAGAAAAAAAAGGTTGTCTCAAGTTTTGCCCTATACGGGGGAGCAAGTTGATGATCAGGAAGGCCTACAGCTAGAGAGATATGGGAAGAGGGAGTAATGCTTGTTTACGTATCACATAACAGCAGGCACGGTGGGAAAGACCACTGCTGGTAGATTGTTCCAGAGAAGGTCGGTGCAATTGAAGAACGACTAGTAGCAGTAGTGTGGCGTTCTTTTTTTTTCTTTTTTTAAATGCAATCAAATCTGATTTTTTAAGCATGTGTTTGTCAAATTCCAACTTCCTCTCTTAATATTTCGAATGTGGCAATTCTAGAAATAAAGTTAGTTATTTTGACTCACTTTGGTAGAAAGAGTTATGTATGAAATGCCGATATAAACCGTTTGCTATATATATGCATAATATGTTATGAAATAAAGGAAGTTCTCACTGATCAATTTATGAAATTTGCTCACATTTAATATCATCTTAAGAAGTATTCTTTAGGTATTCAGTAGATACTACATTTTAACGAATCAATATGAGGCGTTGCACTTTTACCCACTTGATCGAATGCCATGTATATGATATTCATTTTTACCACTTTCGTGGTATTTATATCCAACTTGTCAAGTATTGCTCCAAATCTGCCACTCAAGCATGTATATACTGTAAGCTATGCGCATTCAACCAAGAAAGCAAGTTTTAACTTATAAGGGCTCTCAACTGGCAAATTTCATTGAGCTTAACGCTCAATATATTTGTTTTATATATTCCAATTTTATTAGAACATTTTTTATGTTCTGAAGATAGTATTATGTATGATATATGTACCATTAAGTCTTACTTTTCTATGAATGCAGTTAAATAGATAGAGACTATTTAGTTTAAATAATAAATATGATAATATCGAGAAAATGAATATGTCGATTGCACGTTAACGCTGCATAAGAATTTCAATCATTACATGGGAAACTTGGCATCAGTCGCGAAGGGACGAAAAAAAAAACTACTTAGTATACTGAAATCGAAATCAACAAGGAAGAAGGAAAAACTAGATTCTTTTAAATAATATATTTCAGTACGCCTCAAAAAACATTTCACAATAAAAGAATATAAAGCTTGAACCACACTCCTATGCACTTACTCTGGATATATATTAATAAAATTTCTCTAAAAACTCACTACAAAAATACTCTTTACGCAGTTTTTCTTCGTAAAAAAAATATAATAGTTTAAGGCTGCATATAAATGAACTTGACATACACTTTCACATTGTTACAAAAAATTAAAAATTGCATAAAAAGTCTCCCTCCTTAAAACAGGCAACTGAAAACAGTTTATTAAACATCGTAAAGTTAGCTTCTCAAAAAAAAAAAAAAAAAAAAAAAAATACCGAACACACTATCGTTTTAATTAACATTTAATTGTTTTCATAACGAAAAGGGAAGAAAAATTATACAAAATTATCTTTGCAAGACATCTGAGAATTAAGATCAGATTTTCTTCTTTTTTTTGGGTTCACATCATCACATTTTTATTGTAATGATGTGTGCTTTATTAAGTAACATGGGAGGTGCTTACAGTCGGCCAACACCGAATATTTGTTTCCCTACACCGCTCCACATAACACTGTTATTCACTTGTTTTGATAATAATATGCCAAAGATTATCCATTATCTTCATGCAAAGGTATATATTCCATGAGAGCCCGCGTATTGGACGATGCCCAAAACATCGCATGACATGGTAAAAAGTTTGCAAACTTAACTTAGTTCCTAAAAATTGCATTATTTTTCAGTTTCTCCATATAAGGGCTTGCTTTGCATGACGACCCTTTTATATATTAGGTTCTTAAAAAGAGACCTGTGTGATCCAAATTTCCCACTCAGGCTAACGTTTTTGAGAAATCTTTTAGGAAGAGAGTTCCAACAAATAGACCCATGTGGTTCAAGTTTTCACTAATTAATTTTTATGTCAAATTACTATAATGAACACATTTTCATCATAAAACATTCATCTTTAAGGCTTTTTGGTATAGAGGCGTTCTCATTTCAATAGAATTCGTTTTTGGGCTTAAACACGTAAGTGTATCAAATTTCATCAAAAAATCTTTCAAAAAAGGTCGACCTGTGGATTGGACAAAGAGATATAAGGACAGACATTAGCCGGATAGACAGACAGACGGACAGACAAGCTTAGATCGTTTGAGAAAATTCTGCTATTGAATCGATTCTGAATCGGTCGGTATAATAAAACGTGGAAGTATCTCAAGACCTGCTGGGTTTTACATACGTCCGCCCAAATTTAATATATCCTGTACCATAAGCCCTACGAAAGTGGCGCCTTTTACTAGCTATGCCAATGGACTAAAGTAAAGACTTACTGCTCAGTAATGATTAGTTGTTTATGATTGTGTGTAGCATCTAAGCATATTCATGTGGTAGAATAAGCATTCATTTCTATCCCTACTTACATTTAAAAGGAAGGACAGAAAATTCTCAAAATTTATAAAATTTTCTCTTTTATCTTTTGTGTCTATAAATTTTATATAAATCTATGTCTGCAGTAAAAACTTTTGACGCAACACGATATGCCGACGATTACGTTTAATACTGCTTTTGCTTTCACAAAAATTCTTTCTTCATACTTGAGCATGCTATGAAAAAATGTTTACTATTAACGTAAGCTTTACCCAGGCTACTGGCTGTGGCGCACTGAAACGTGTTGAAGTTTGCCTACGTACGCATGTAGGCATGACAGGTATATAAATATGTATTAAAAGGGATCATGTGTGGATCCGATAGTAAAATGAAAGTAAGACAAGAGATACTAAAATTTTTAATTGATTGCAGAATAACGCATAGAAAGCTACTTTAACAAGCAATTAAGAAACTTTTATCGTTACATTTAAG